CCTCCTCACCCCAGCCGCCCACAGGCTCCGGGCGGCCCTGGGAGGCTCTGACTCACCTCAGACGTTGGCCAGCGAGCAGGCCGGGGCGGGCAGGCGGCCAGACAGGCGGGGCTACCTGGCCGGGGCGGTGGGCTCCGCCCTGTGCCCGGGCCAGGCCGGCTTCCCCGCAGCCGGGAGCCTCATCGGCACGGAATCCAGGCAGATGCCGGACCCGCCGCCAAAGGCTGCCCTCGCCCTGGCTCGGCGGAAACACGAGATTTTGCAATAACAGAGGCTGCTCCGGGCGGCCAAGCCAAACCGTTTACAGCGTTCAGAGAGGCTGCTCGGCAGAATCAAAGACGCCTGGGATTCCGGCCCGGCCGCGGCCTGCGCCGTCAGACCGGACGACCTGCTCCCCACGCCTGGCCGAGCGCCAGCAGCCAGCGGGCCGGCCTGCCAGCGCCTTCCCGGCCGAGGCCTGGGGAGGCCGCGCCAGGACTGCTCTCCTCTCTGTGCCTTGTTGGGCCCAGGGCAGGGGCAGGTTCAAATCCCCTCTCTCCCACCTCCCAGCTGTGTGGCCCCGGGGAAGTCCCTTAGCCTCTCTGGGCCTGTCTGGTCAAACAGAAAGGCACAGAGGCAAGTCCTGGGACAGCTGTGAGGTTCAGGAGCCCATCCAGCCGCACTGCGGGGCTCAGAGGACCATCATGGGGCGGAAACTGTATGAGCCGTTACGACAGGAGCAGAGAGAAGCCACGCCCCCTGGGCGCAGGACGCTGCAGGCTAACCTGAGAGAAAAGGCAGGCGTCCGTCGCAGAGGGTGGCTGCTCTCCCAGGGTCACCCAGTGACAAGCACAAACTCCTCTGCCCGCCGAGGCGGCCTGGCCTGGGGTGGGGGGGTGGGGAGAGCGGTTAAAAGACCAGTCTTTAGGGCAAAGCCCCACCCAGCACCCAAGACAGAGCTTCTGAGCAGGGGCTGCCGGGGCAGTGAAGAGAGCCCTCAGATCCCTCAGATCGCTGCTCCTCGCCCTGCCTGCCCCTCACCAGCGGATGACCTCAGGCAGGTCTGTGCCCTCCGGGTCCCTCCCTGCAGCCCCCTGCTCCCCCCGCCCCCCGCGTTGTTCCAGGTGTAATGGGCGCAGGGGGCGGGATTGAGAGGCCGCCCCCAATCATGCCCATTAGCCTTGTTGCTGTTATTAGCGCCGGGCCTGGGCGGGCGTGCGGGCGGCGGCGTGGAAATGAGGCCTCCCGCTCGGGTGCCGGGCCAACCTACCAATTTGCATCATCTTAATCCCCGTCATCTGCGTGGGGTCTGAGGCGGCGGGCGGGCCGGCCCACGGGCCCAGCTGCAGCCGAGCCGCACCGACGGCCCTGGGAAGGAAGCGATGCCCCTGTGAGCCGAGGCCAGGAGGTCCGGGTGGAGGAGTGCCCAGGCAGACCCAGGGGGCTGGGGTGCCAGGTGGGGGTCCCCCCTTACGGCCCCTCTGCCCTCCCTCGTGCTGGCCGTGCCGCTGGGAGCCCAAGCCCGAGGCGGCGGGTGCAGAAGGAGGAGCCCAGTTGGGACCCGGGCCCAGGCACTGGGGGGTGAAGCCAGGTCTCCCCACCACCCGGAGCAGGTGACAGCTGGCACCCCCATGCTCCTGGTCTCCCCGGCGACCTTGTGCTGAGACTGGGGACCGGGGCCTGCCCCACAGGCTGTCACAACATAATCCCCACAATGCCCTGGGAAACCGAGACCAGGACCTCCGGCTGAGATGCTCTGGGCCTCTCCCCAGCTCAGGGCCTCTTTTCTGGGGAAAACGAGGCGGCCAGTGGCTGCTGCAGGTAGCCCCGTTGGGGGGTGAGAAAACAGGCTCTGAGAGGTGAGCGGCTTGCCCGCCACCCACCACCCCTCCATAGAGGGACCAGCGCCCGGGGCCGGTGCGGTCCACACCCCGCTTGGCCGCAGCCCCATGAGTGTCCTGGGGAGTGTCCAACCTCTCAGAGTCCTGTTCCTTAGGTGGGGGCTTGGGGTTGGAACCTAAGACGCGGAAGACGGAAAAGAAGGGACTTAGGGGTGCTGGGGGGGTGGGGAGATGGCTCCCCGAAGAAGGTGGAGGAGGGGAGACGCTGACAGGGTGAGCCCTGCCCCACGCCCACCCAGGGTCTCGGCCCCTGTGCCTCCGCCTGCCGCCTGCCCGCTGCCCTCCCACGGAGGCAGAGGCCCGCTGTCCCCACGTCTAATGAAATGGCAGCGGTTTGACGTGGCAGGTGATCTTCCCTGGAAGCGGCGTTAAATTTAGCTCCCTCCCCAGCCGGCGCTTTGAAAAGGCTGCTCTCCACCGAGAGAAGAGGGTGAGTCATCGGCCAGCCCGCCGCCCAGCCCCCACGCGGGGAGAGCGGCGTGGATGCGGGGGAGCAGGCCTCCGAAGGCAGGGAATAGTAAACAGGAGCGGATCAGAGGCGCGGATGGAGCGGTTCTAGCAGTTCCCATGGCGTCTGCGTGATCGCCTGCACCCCCCCTCCCCTGCCCCGTGTCTCCCCGCTCCTCCCACCGCCCCCTCTGCCCCACTCCCCTCCCCAGCCCAGCCCAGACCGAACCCAGCACACACTTGCTGAAGGGCTCCTGGTGCCAGGGCACTGCCTGTCACCCTGCCCCCCGCGCCTGCCCCGTGCGGCTCCCGCTGCGCCGTGTGGGGTGAGGCCGCACCCGCCCGGAAGCTGCCTCCGTGGGAACCCCTGTGCCCGATGCTCCGTACCGCCAGGGGACACGGGGGCTTGCCGGTGTGACTAAGGAGGATCTGGAGATGGGGATTATCCTGGATTATCGGGGTGCCCACATGACCACAGGTGTCCTAAACGGGCTGCGGGGTTCCGGCACACCCACAGGCGGCTGAATGCAGACGGGACGGAGAGAAGGGAAGGCGCCGCCCTTGAAAGACAGATGCTCCCCGGACCTCTGGCGTCAGCCCAGTGGGACGGATTTTGGGGTTTCTGGAAGACAACGCATTAGTGTGTGTTTTTAATATATTTTATTGATTTTCTACAGAGAGGAAGAGTTAGAAACATCGATCAGCTGCCTCTTGCACATTCCCTACTGGGGATGTGCCCGCAACCAAGGTACATGCCCTGGACTGGGATCGAACCTGGGACCCTTCAGTCCGCAGGCTGACGCTCTACCCACTGAGCCACACCGGTCAGGGTGCATGCGTGTGGTTTTAGCCACCATGTTTGTGATCATTGGTTACAGCAGCCACAGGGAACAGGGGCTGGGAGGGGCATGACCTGCCCTCGGCCACACGGCTGGGGAGGGCCAAGCTGCGGTTAAACCCACGTCTGACCAGTTCCCAAGTCCACGCTCTCTCCTGCCTGTCCCTGACCTTCTGGGGGAACGGAAGGGACCGGATGCAGATCAAATACCTAGTCAGTGTCAGGCCAGCGCTGATTGCAGGACAGCCAGCAGGGCTGCTTCCTGTCTGAACCAGCCTCACATTGATCCTCCCGTGGCCCCTCTGAGGTGGGAGGAAGCACACCCATTTTGTGGATGAGGAAATGGAGGCTCAGGGAGGCTAAGTAGCTTTGTCCAGGGGAAGGCCGACCGCAGGGCAGGGGTGGGGCGGGGCGTCGGGAGCAGAGTGAGGGCAGCCAGCTGCACACAGCAGGTGCGAGGGGGGGGGGTGCTAAGCCCACAGAGGTACGCTGTGCTCGGGGCCGTGGCTGCAGAGGAGGCTGGGAAGGTGGCGGGCTGGGTGGGCACAGGGCCTCGGGCGCCAGGAGGTGCCTGTGTCCCGCTGTAGAGAATGGGCGTGATGGAGGCCTAGCATCCCACGTGTCACCGCCCGGGCTGTGGGCGTCTCCGGAGCTCGCTCGCTCGCTGTCCTCTGCGGGTCCAGGATGGACATGGAGCCCTGCTGGGCGATGTGAGGGTGGGAGGGGGGGATCTCCTCAATGGAGGTTTTCAACCGCCCTGAAGGCGCACACAGGCACACATGGGGACACACACACATACCACACAAACAGCACACCCATCCTGTACATACACCATACACTCGTGCGTGCACACACGCACACGCGTGCACATGTGTGCACCCCAGCCTCAAAGACCCCCAGCACCTGCTCAAACCATATTGTGGGAGAGGGAAGGGGCTTGAATTCCTGGGTTGCAGATGGGAAATGGAGGCAGCCCAGAGCTGCAGGCTTCCTGCAGGGGGCACCCTGGCACTGTGTCCTCCCTCACCCTCCAGCTAGGTGCCTCTGCCACTGGTCCGGACCCCGGTCCCATCAGCACCGGATCCCGGAGACAGGCCGGTCCCTGAAGGGCTGTCTCGGTGTGGAGGAAGGCACTCCGGCGAAGGGCTGGCACCTGGGAGTGAGCGCAGGCGTGGGGCCTGGGCTGGGGGTTCAGCGGGTCGCTGCCGGCGACCTGGTTCTGCTCCTCGCTGGCTGTGTGGCTCAGGGCAGGTGTCCTGACCTCTCTGAGCCCAGCTGCCCATCTGTAAAAGGGGCGGGCCGCCCGCGCTGAGAGGAGGAATAAACACACGGAGGATATAAAAGGGCTCAGCCAGTTCCTGGTGAAATGGAGCTGGTCAGCGCAGTGGGAGGGGGTCTGGGGCGGGGAACTGGCCTGCCCTCCAGAGCACTCAGACCCCCCACCCGCCCCAAAGGCGACCTCTGACCCCCCACCCGCCCAAAGGCGACCTCTGACCCCCCACCCGCCCCAAAGGCGACCTCTGTCCCCCCACCCGCCCCAAAGGCGACCTCTGTCCCCCCACCCGCCCCAAAGGCGACCTCTGACCCCCCACCCGCCCAAAGGCGACCTCTGACCCCCCACCCGCCCCAAAGGCGACCTCTGACCCCCCACCCGCCCCAAAGGCGACCTCTGACCCCCCACCCGCCCAAAGGCGACCTCTGACCCCCCACCCGCCCCAAAGGCGACCTCTTCGTGGTCCTCGAGGAGGCTACCACGGGCCCCACTGGAGCTCACTGGGCCAGCACAGGGGAAGGTGGGGAAACTGAGGCTTACTGAGGCTGGCTCCCCGGCCTGA